ATTATTATTATTAATATAATAACAATACTTTATTATATAAATAATGACTACAACTACCACAGGGATATGAGTTAACTTGCTTAACAAACTGGACAACATTTGTAGTTCTTTTAAATCTACTTTTTTTTAAAGCATAGCTTCAAAAATTTAATTTAGTCTGGTTTTAGCTGATCTTCCAGCCTTGTCAGTGCTGGTTATGACTGTTTTTAGAGTGGTTTTGACCCCATCTTTAGCTGGTCAGGCTGGGAGACCAGCTAAAACCAGCTATTTCCATTTTAAACTATCCAACCAGTTTAGGCTGGGTTTAACTGTTCCCCCCCCCCAGCAGACGGTGTGTAATTTTTTCTGTAGGACAAAACCTGAAACCTGACCAGCTAAGACGTGCCTGCCAAACACCTTTAAACTTTTAGACCAGGGCTGCCCAAACTCGGTCCTGGAGGGCCGGTGTCCTGCAGAGTTTAGCTCCAGCTTGCCTCAACACACCTGCCGGGAAGTTTCTAGAATGCATAGTAAGAGCTTGATTAGCTGCTTCAGGTGTGTTTGATTAGGGTTGGAGCTAAACTCTGCAGGACACCGGCCCTCCAGGACTGAGTTTGGGCACCCCTGTTTTAGACTTTATATAAATTTTTAGTTTCAGCAGAATATGGCAAATTAGCTAAGCACCAACCCAGGGGGCAGTTGCATAAACATAGTCACCATGTTAAGACACCCTAGCAACCAAAATAAGAATGTTACAACCTCTCAGAACACCACACAGCAACTCCCCTGAATCGTGACAGCGAGTTGTGAACAGAAAGCCACTACTTATATTTGCTTCCGAAAATGTATAGCTGTCGTAGGGATTATGCACATGTATTGAGCAGATTATAATATGTAAAAGCAGTCAGAAACAGGAAGCCGCACTTCAGACAGTGAGTGAGACATTGAGCCACAAACAGCACACTTCCTCTTATCTTCCGTTTATGTAAGCAGTGTGATTTAAAAACACCTCCTCCCCCCACACCACCTTCCTCTCTCATTCGCCTTGGCAGAAAACATCCTTTCTGACACACTCAGTCTATCATAACGGCAGTCTCATTCAATGCCATGATCTCGGCTACGTTTCACAGTTGATTTGGTTAGATTGAAACTGTGGCAATGAACCATTTACAGTACATGTCTGTTTTTCTGTCTATCCATTTGTCTACCTATATATCTGTCTATCTACAATAACTGTCTATCTGTTTGTTTGTCTGTCTGTCTGTCTATCTATCTATCTATCTATCTATCTATCTATCTATCTATCTATCTATCTAGACCAGTGGTTCCCAACCCTGGTCCTGGAGCCACCCCAACACTGCACGTTTTGAATGTCTCCTTAATCAAACACACCTGATTCAGGTCATACGTTTCACAGTTGATTTGGTTAGATTGAAACTGTGGCAATGAACCATTTACAGTACATGTCTGTTTTTCTGTCTATCCATTTGTCTACCTATATATCTGTCTATCTACAATAACTGTCTATCTGTCTGTCTATCTATCTATCTATCTATCTATCTATCTAGACCAGTGGTTCCCAACCCTGGTCCTAGAGCCACCCCAACACTGCAAGTTTTGAATGTCTCCTTAATCAAACACACCTGATTCAGGTCATCAGCTCATTAGTAGAGACTCCAAGACAGGGGTGCCCAGACTCGGTCCTGGAGGGCCGGTGTCCTGCAGAGTTTTGCTCCAACCCCAATATCTATCTATCTATCTATCTATCTATCTAGACCAGTGGTTCCCAACCCTGGTCCTGGAGCCACCCCAACACTGCACGTTTTGAATGTCTCCTTAATCAAACACACCTGATTCAGGTCATCAGCTCATTAGTAGAGACTCCAAGACAGGGGTGCCCAGACTCGGTCCTGGAGGGCCGGTGTCCTGCAGAGTTTAGCTCCAACTTGCCTCAACACACCTGCCTTCAAGTTTCTAGTATACCTAGTAAGAGCTTGATTAGCTGGTTCAGGTGTTTAATTGGGGTTGGAGCTAAACTCTTCAGGACACCGGCCCTCCAGGACCGAGTTTGGACACCCCTGCTCCAAGACCTGAAATTGGTGCGTCAGAGAAAGGAGACATGCAAAATGTGCAGTGTTGGGGGTGCCTCCAGGACCAGGGTTGGGAACCACTGCTCTAGACACAGTACTTCAGTGAATAGTGCTCCATCTAGTGGTAAATGTGTGGAATCATTCGGTCACATATGAAATTTAATGGGGGATATTAATTATTCTGAAGGAATTTTGTGCTGGAATGGAGGAGCTCAGAGTATAAGACAAATTATTCTGCCAGAACAGAAGGTCTTCTTAGAGCTTATGAAAAATACACACAAATGTGCCATACAGGAGTCTTGAAATCATACTCTGTGCCTTTTTAAAGTTTTTCTCACAACATCTTGTTTGTAAAAATCCATGTTTCCCCAGAGTGAATCCCTGTCAAGCATTCAGCTAGTGTGAAGCCTCCCTTGCACAATAGCTTTCATCTTATCAGCACAGACTCTGATATGTGTGTGCTACATTTCTCTCATTCCTCTCCGCTTTTTGCCACAAGACAGCTTTGTTCCTCAGTGACTTTTGCCTGTAAAAACAGGCCGTTTTTGTGTACTTGAAAACCTGATTGGGTTCCTGATTGGGCTCTATCTGTTGCAACAGCACCATTAGCATTAGGATTGCCTGTGAGAAAATGTTTTGTGCTGACAATGCAGTCACATTGCAGTGGTTTGTGCAATAGCCTGCCTTTATAATAAGATCCTTTGTATTTGTGTGGCTTAGCCTGATCACATTACATGCCTTCAAACCAGATTTGCTTCCATTCATCATCGTCACTGTTGTTTAGATTTTCTCTGAAGATTTGAGGAGTCTATGGGAAAAGGGCGATTATCTTTCTTCCCCTGTCTAATGGACAGTGAATTAGTTAATAGTGTTAGCAGAACAAAATCCTTCACACTTGGACACATATAATTAAAGACTTTGCTATAATGATGCTGCCGTCTGACACGCGTATGTTCTGAGATATTTATTAGGAGTGATACCCGTGGTTATGCAACACTTTTCCCTGTGGATTCCCCTGAAGAATGAAGTAGATTAATCAGGCCTATTATAATAAATGTGAGGTTCTTGAAACAGCATCATGTGGATTTAATAAACAAAAAAGAGATAAAAATAGGAGAGTATATTGAGGAAAAGGAAGTTGAGTTTTAATGTTTTATGTAACTGGTTGTCAGGTTATTAATAATTAAAAAAAGAATAAAAAAAAAAAAGAATAAAAAAAAAATCCCAGTGAGGATTTGACTCATCATTGTGGGAAAATATTGTACCACACCCTCTTCCTAGGGTTCACAAATAAATATATTCAAACACCTGGTCACATTTTAAATCTGATAAAAAGATTTCGCTTGTTTATTGTAACAAAAAGGCTCACGGGTACACATATCTGAGGATTTTAGAAACAATGTTCAGACATGCATGAGCTTGAGCACAGGACAACATGCTTTTGTAGTAATCCTGGCTTTTATCTCTCTCTCAATTCTTTTCAGTCAGACAGAAATGACACTTTGTGTATGGGCTTGTTCTCTACAATAACAGAGATCTGCTCAAGGCAAACTTTAGGTCAGTTATATTGACCTAAACCATCATTCTAATAATAGAACATTTATTCACTGAAACGGCAGCTAATTTAATATCAATTTGACAGTGAAATGTAATATTTGTATGTGTATGTGAGATTATTAAAGATTCCAAACTCGCTCAGGTTTTATAGCTTTATAATTGCACTGGTGAGTTTCTCCCTTGTATCACCCAATGACGTGATATGTGCACTATGTGAGAGGTAGGTCAAAGGTCATGAGATTGTATCAGGGACTGTTGCTCAGCTGTAGCTCGCAGACTACAGTCTGCAGGGAACATGACAGCTGTACATATCCCAGAGAAACACATGTACACACCACACAGACCACTGAGACCGTAAGACAGTGTTCACACGTTCAGTCATTATCAGACACCCCAGAGACACACACACACAGCCGCAGACATGATGTTCCAATCAAGCATTTGTGTAGTAAACCCCAACACTTTGATGATAGACAGATAGATGGACTCAGTAGTGTGTTGGTTTAAATTATGGTTTAATCATCTGTATAACATCAGTTCACATATTTCATAAACATCCCAAAACAGATCATTTGTGTTTTTGATGATACATATTTTGTGCAAAAATGCAATTAATGGGGAAAATACATGAGGAAAAGAAGATAAAAAAAAAGAGAACAGGAATTAGTTTCTGAAGTAAAAGTGCAGATACACAGTCAACAGTGCAGACATTTGAGTGCTTGGCTGACAACTGTTAGAAGATACTTGCTGGATATTCAGAATGCCGGACACACATGCTGCAGTCTTTATAGTGACATGGAAATCCTGAACAGTTTATTTAAACGGTAGCAGTTGTAGTTGATTCAGTACTTTTAAATGGAATGTCATGAGCAATGATTTCATTACTTCAAGAACCGACAGTAAACTTCATTAAAGCTCCAGGCATGTTTTTACAGTATACTGTACAATATGGACAAGTAATGGGGATAAGTCTAAATACTAGTCTTATGAAAACAACTTGGTTTGGTCATAATAGACAAATGCTTTG